CATTTACTCAAAGGCAAGGTGCTGCGGAACCAGTGTTCTCTGAGGGGTGTAGCACGGCTGAATCAGCTATCCTAAATGGAGCCAGGTGCACTGGCTGCTGCTCCAATGATGGTGCTAGCTTTGTGGAAGGAACGTGCAGAAGAATTTTGAGAAATCACAAGCAGTTTGTAGTCTCATATCAGCATGCATGGCACATCTCAGCCAGAAGTGAGGTAGGCAGCAAGAGGAAGGAGGTAGCACCTTCTTCAAGAAAGGAAGAGGTCTGCATTTGCACAGAGAATGAGCCAGGCATCTCCGTCTTTGCAATAGCAGTGGAGGTGAGCTGACTGATGTGAATCTGCTTCAGATGCCAAGCCTGCTCTTAGGTCTAGATTTTTTTTTTAACAATGTTAGTGGTGTTGAACCAGTGCTCTGGGAGCCTTAAAAATGCATAGGAGGAACCTCAGTGATAAGGAATTCAAGAAATGCTTTGCTTGCAAGTTGAAATTGAACAGAGGGGAGAAGAAATCTAGAAGAAATTTGTACCCTTTCCCCAATTCTTACCAAGTAAGGTTGCATGAAAGGCTCTGCTTGTTGGTCTGTGCGCTAATTAGTCAGATGGGCTGCCCTTGATCTGAGCAACACTGAGACCTTTCCCCTCTTCCCCTGCTCAGCTTCTTGAAACAGTGCACTTTGTCCAAGTCACTGCCCAGGAACTGCATGGGCACAGTGGATGGAGTAGGAAACCTGGGTTCTCCCACTGCTGTTGGATACTGGACTGTGGAAGATTTCTACAGAGGAAAGTGCTTGCCAGGTCTCCTCTGCTGCAAGCATATTGTGCTAGAGTGCTGTGCAGGCTTCTAGCTTATCTGCAGTTCATTTATGGACATCTGTTATTGCTAGAATTCAGTGAAATCCTTTTTCCTTGGAATTGCAGCTTCTGGGAATTAGCTTTGAGTGTGGCTGGAACAAAACCTTTCCTTTGTCTCATGTATTGTGCAGAAGTGGCATTTCTGAAGCTGTATTTCTCTAATTTGGAGCAAGCATACTTCTGTGCAGATTATGGGACCAAGCAGGAGAGGGACTTCACTTGCTGACCTAGTACCTTAATATTTATACGGTACACTGCCCTGTGCAACAAACATGGTGAAGACCCGATCCTATCAACTCCATCTTCCACAGATGGATGGGTTTTAGTCAAGCCTAAAGCGTGAGAGCATGCAGCGAGGTGAGGCAACTGAGAGTAGCGGGGAGGAACCAGACGAAGGATAGACCTTGGTTTGGATCTGAAGCAGAGAGCTTTTATGTCATGGAATAACATGGAGGCCAGAGAGGTCAATTCCTTTATTCCACAAGACACATGCAACTATTAGCCTGGTATTCAGGGAGTCATATAACACTACTGTCCCCTTTCTTCCAATCTTAATCCTGGTGTGTCTTTTTCCTCTCCGATAAATGGGTAATGTTTCAGATTATGTAATGTATATTGTAACAGAGTGATTACATGTCACACAGAGAAATCACAAATTGTGATGGTTTTAGATTTCATATTAATTTTGACTCAGCTGCTTCTTTGATCTAGCACATATGAGAAATAATAAAAGATGTTTTCTTTGAAAGAAATTTCAAGGTGGTGTGTGTACATTTCATGAGTATTGTCCTGATCTCTTTCATGTCTTTGCCCTAGGAGATTATCAGGACAAGTTCTGTCTTTTGTTCTGTTCATCAAGCCATTCTCAGATTTTCTTGAGAGAACCACCCTGAAAGATACCCCTCCAGTGACTCTTTTGATTGGGCTAAATTGCAATTCCCTGTAAGCTTTACGTCTGCCGTAGTCCGGTGAGATGAGTGCAACTTTGACCCTTCCCACTCTGAAGGGGACTGAAAAAGGACACATCACAAGCTGTGGTGTCCTGACTGACTGTTCACAGTCAAGACCAATTTCGGGGGACTAGTTTGGGATGCCACCTGTATATGAGATGCTTTCAGTGTAGGCGTTTAGTTGTGACCTGACCTAAGCAGTTGTTTGTAATGATTACTTCTACTGGGTGGGGAAGCCGCAAGCTAGATACCACCAACTTAATCTGCTATTGCAGATGAAGAACAAGCTTAAGGGCATATGGAAAGCCATTAGAAGCTTACTCAGCACTGTGTTAAACCCTTTGTGTTCATAAAAGAAATCCAACTTGTTTAACAAGAGCCATGCTCTGGTACCACCTGAGAAAGGTGGGTGAAGTTAGGGAGACACATACTAACTGGCAAGCTTTCAGATTAGAGCCAAAAGCTTCCACTGATTTCAGCAGGTGGAAAATTAAAGATCCCAGCAGGTGAAAACCATCAGCTTTAATGATCTAGGAACAGCCAATTCACTTGTATTGTTCTTAGAAGATATTCTACCAGAAGGTTTTCCATCTACAAAGTTCACAGCACACAGGAGGCGCA